TTAGTTTGCACTGACCACAGAGCCAAAGATTGCTCTTGCATTGAAGAGCCCCAAGCTGCAGCACAACTATTGCAGCAGGATATACAGAACACAGTACATTTGGAATGAAAATGAATTAAAAAGTCATGAAAGTCAAAGTTAGTTAGTCCTCAGACAGCTGGGGGGAAATCAGAACCCTATTGTATCATAAGCTCCCAAAGCACAGACCAAGACAATGCAGGCTGCAGAGACCTGGCAGTCCAAACAGGCCATATATTGAAATAAGGATGAGTTGCTGCTCCAGTTTAGAGGTGAGAAACTCCAGCATGAAGAGATAAATGGTGTTCCAAAAATCCACAGGAAACCAAGGAACAAACCAATCTGAGTCTCAGTTCCCTGTCTCACCCACCAAAATCATACTCCTTCTCCAGTTCAGCAAACCTCTCAGAACAACTTAAACACAGAAAACCAGCACTACAGTTTCTAAAACCTCAAATGTGAAATGCTTTGAGCTCACTCTGTCTGCAGTTTATCATTTGCAATGACATTATGTAGCCTATTCTTGCCAAGCAACTTCAGCTCTACCATGCTGAGCTGCTCTGTATTGTCAGCAGTGATGGGTTCAGAAGTGCAAAGAAAAACGCTGAGAAGTCTTTCACTTACAGCAAAATCCTCCTCCTTACACCACAAGATCAAATACAGATAGTATTGGTTAAAAAAATACAAAGACAACACCCTCCAGAATTTCTTAAAGCATATGAGTATCCAAAACAAAATCAGGTTGTGCTATAAATTCTGCATCTGCAAAAAAATGAAATAAACTTCCATTTCTACACAGGGTCCCATTCAGATTACAAGAAACAAAGTGAACAGACTGTTTAGTAGCAATGGTAATTCAGAAAAAAACAAACAAACAAACAAAAAAAAACCCAAAAAAAAAAAACCAGATGGCTTAAATCTTATATATCTTGGGTCATGGGAATGTACAAAGTGTGCAGTCAGAGAACAAGTGGGGAAAAACGGCACTTAGACTTAGCTGTAACTGCAAAATCCTCACAACTGCACACCACTAAGTAAGAGAGCCCAGCCTAGCTCAAATAAAGCTGCCCTGCACCTAGAACTTGGGTGGCCTCAGGAGCTCAGATGTCTCTGCTGCAAAATCCTCAGCTCACAGACTCAGCACTCTTTGGCCCAAGGTCTGTGCCAGCCAAACAGGGTGACCTGGTCTCATTTTACAGGAAACTGTCATGACAAACCACGTGAAATAAGGGCATGGAACCAGGCAAGAGGAGTAGAAACAAACACAAAAGCCGACTTGGTGACATGGTCTGAGTTACCAGCTGGAGGAAGATTACAAAGTAAAAAGCAGGACACAAACAGCTAAAAGGATCCCTTCCAAGGAAAATCAAGTTTTCTGGGTTCTCTAACTGACCACATCCTCATAACCTCAAGCCCTCACCACAGCAGAATTATTTTGCCACAAGCTGCTCACTTCAGCATTTGGACCCCACATCCACTCAAAGCAGAACCCCTCCCAGGTGAAGGCCACAGCCCTCGGACAAGGAAGGTTAAAATCAGCTTTTCATACAAGCTCCTTCCCCCAAAGAGCCAGATGGAGAACTCCACCAAGGAGCAGCCACCAGAGAAAGCCGTGAGATGCATTCTAGGACCTGAGCAGCTGACCCCCAAACCCCCCCAATTAACTGATGCTAACTACTCCCATAAGTGAAGGGGAAGCAAAATACCACTACTCCATTCAAGTCTCTTGACTTGCACCATAGATATCATCACGACAATTTTTTGTGTGAGCTACCCCCACCTTCTGCAGATGAAAAAGCAGTGAGAAAAATCTTTACTAGTTAGATTTACCAGCAACTAGATTAAGCCACATCTCAGTGATAACCCTACACGATGTTCCTGCAAAGAATGCCAGCTGGAAGTTTGAGAGCCCACACCTGGAACTGAAAGGAAGCTGAGCAAAGTGCCTCTCTGAACATGTGTTAATTATTAAGAAGATTATTACAGCTTCCTTCACAGGCACAGGTGACACCAACAGGGCTTCTGTTCCCTCAGGATGCTGCTGTTCAATGGTATCACTGAAGAGCCAGAGCAGCCAGCCTGCTCACCATGCAAGGAGCTTCAGGAAGACACCTGTACACAACTACAGGTCTGTGGGGTTCTGCTGCACCACTCCACATCACAGCACAGGAGCACAAAGGGCAGCCCGTGCCAGAGTTTGCTGGTTTAACTCATAACAAGCAATCCACACACACCCCACAGGGGCAAAGCTCTGCATACCTTCTGTGCCACCTTCGGGCCACTGTCCCAAGATGGGAGAGGATTTTGCAGCTCTGAGCTCCTCCCAGTAACACTGTGGCATTTTTCCTTCTCCTGAAAGCCATCCTCCCGGAGGCTGGTGCACTGCTGGTTCGAATCACTGCAGAACTCTCTCAGCCTGCCCAGAGTTTCCAAACAGATACGGGACTTCTCACGCTTCTGAGATTCTTCTTTTGGTGAAAAGTCACAACAAAAACACATTAGCAACTTATTTTATAAAACAGAACATCTATCAGAAGAACATCAGTAAGAACAGGCACAACAATTTTGCTCCACACCTCTTTTCCCTGTGCTCCCTCTCCTCTCCTACTGCAGTATTTCTGCCAGCCTGACCCTGCACTTAAACAGCTTGGTTACCTTCCCTGGAAAACCAATATTCCTCGCATGTGTGCTTCTCTGTAAGTGGGAAGAGATTATTTTTAGGACTGACAACTGCACAGCCATAAAGTTAGCTAAGAAGACTGGGAATCAAGCAGATTTTCTTTCAATACGCTTCTTTACGCAGACAGTATTGCCTCTTGAGGGTGTGCTAGTGATACTTCAAAGCATCACACCAACAACTTTAATACCGTTCCCACTTTGAAACTCAAGAGGCTAATTCTTGCTATCGAAAAGTAATGAACTTTACATTCACTGGTTTTCATACCAGCATTACTTTATTAAATTCTCTGCTCAAAGCCAGACGGAACTCAGGCATTTCTGAGGCAACAGAGCAGCTGACAATGAAAAACTTATTTACTGGCTGCCAATGCTTGAGGGTTTGCTAACAGTGAACTCACTTTTATCCTGAGTCTTCAGTGGGTTACAGATCTCTTCCAGAGTAATCTGCCGTGCCTTGGTCTTCTTTTCACATGGTTCATTGCTTTCAGTAGATGTGCTCCTTTTTGTGCCACATTTAGAAGCCTGAAAAGCAAATTAAGCTAATAAGTTCAGTTACCTTTTCTGTTTGCTCTTCTCTGAAAGAGAACAAACAGCTTCACAATAAGTTAAGGCAAAATTGTCCAACCTCCCATCCCTGGTATTGCTCAAGGCCAGATTGGAGGAGCTTGGAGCATCCTGCTTCTTAGATGTATTTTGAAACATGCATTTAGAACACTATGTAAACAGAAAATTCACCAATTTTGCTGTTTCATCATTGACCTTTTGCAAGAACCTTTACTAAATATGAAAAAGTAACTTGTAAATCCAACAGAACATAAACACTTCTCACAGAAGCACACAACAGGTGCTTTCAGCAGCTTGCATCCACATTTCATATCGTGACCTCAGATGGTTTAACCATGGAATTTAAATTTCCTTGGAACTAAGCAGGAACTCCAACCTCACCAACTAAACCCAAAACCTCCATATAACCACAGCCCACATGAGTAGCAGTTTTCAAGCCCACTGTTAAATACCACCAAATTAACACTAATTAGGAAGCCTCTTCTACAAGGGCGGAAAGATGTAACTACACCTTACAACATACATTTGGACCAAAGGCAACCCAAGTAGCTGACTGAGCAGGGGCAGCTGCGGCACACGGGGGCCCTGAGCCTTTCCTGAGCCTGCCGGGCGTGCAGGGATGTACACCGACATCCTCATTTACATCCCTAAAACTTGCTAATGGCAGGAGCCCTTGACTAAGGGATGCAGCTGCTGCCTGTGCCACCGGTCAGGTCTCATTTCTGGTGGATCAGGCTGTGATCACTTTGATCACAGCCTGATCACTTCTGAGAATACACAAAGATCAAACCCCAGAGAACATCCTGACTTATGACAACCTTAATATTATTCCACATTTTGCAAAACTGGAAGGCACAGGGGTTCAACACTGGTGTGAAGCAACAGTGGCATGGACCAACATGCTGGCCTTGCCCAGATCACCAAACCTGCACCAAGCCCCAGCTCCCCTGTAACAGGCACATCCTGCATTACAGAATCCCAGGGGATTTGGGGCTGGAATGTCCCTCTGGAGCTCCCAGCCCAGCCCTGGCCAGGCAGGGTGCCCTGGTGCATCCCACAGCAAGGTGCCCAGCTGGGGCTGGGATGGCTCCACACAGGGACGCTCCGGGCCCTCCCTGGGCAGCTGTTGCAGGGCTCTGCTGTCCCTCCATGCACACAAGTTCTCCCTCCTGCTGCCCTGCCCCTCGCTGCCCGCCCTTTGATGGCCGCTGCTGCTGCTGCTGGCACTGGCAGCACCGAGCAGAGCCCGGCCCGTGCTCTGGCAGCCCCTGCAGATGTTGGGGGGCATCGATGGCATCCCTGGCAGCGTTCCCTTCTGCAGCCTGCCCAGCCCAGCTCCCGCAGCCTCTGCCCAGCACACAGATGCTGCACAGCACAAAAATTCTCTCTGGGCCCTGCCCAGCAGCTCTGTGTCCTTCCTGCACGGCTGGCCCTGAGGACCCGGGCACCGGTGCCCACACAGATCGTACAGCTGGGAGCTGGCAGCCTGTCCCGCAATGTCCGTTCCGCAGTCAGGGTCACCGGGATGGACACCGGGATGGACACCGGGATAGCGGGCCGAGCCCGCCCCGCCCCGCCCCGCGCACCGTGTAGCGGGGCCCGCTCTCGCCGCCGCTCGCCGCCGCCCCGAAGAATCTGCTCAGCACCGGCTGCCCCGCGGCCCCGCCGCCCCGCCGGCCCCGCGGCATGGCCGGGCCCCGCGCCGCGGCACCGCCTCCCGCCGGATGCGCCCGCTCGGCCCGCCCCGGCACGGCACGGCACGGCCCCGGCGCGGAGCGGAGCGGAGCGGCCCGGCCATGGCGCGCTCGCTCAACTCCATCGTGGCCGTCAGCCAGAACATGGGCATCGGCAAGGACGGGCGGCTACCCTGGCCGCCGCTCAGGTACCGCGGCCCGCCGCCGCTGCGCCCCCCGCCCGCACTACAGCCCCCAGCGTGCCCCGCGCCGCGCGGCAGCGGGCTGGCGCGGCGGGGCCGCGCGGGGCCCGCTGGGAGCTGTAGTGCTTGAGGGGATGCTGTGTGAGGCGGGAAAGCGTGGCGGGAGTGCGACTGTGGGGTTGTTTTTTGCGTGGGCTCTCTCTCATGCGGTGGCCGCAGGTTATCGCTCATGCGAGCACAGCTGGGAGACAAAGGTCTCGTCTCGGCCAGGCACCGGCTAAGCTCTCCCCAGCCGCCTCTCCCCGGCCTCCAGCAACACATCCATCACGGGGGGATTTTTCATTGAAATTAAAGAACTTGCAGAAAAGAAATATATATAAATTAGAGAACTTATTCTTAAGGCACGTTGTAACGCAGTCCGTGCTTCCCCGGCAGGAATGAGTACAAGTACTTCCAGAGAATGACGAGCACCGCCCGTGTGGAAGGTAACGTGTGGGGCGTGTGGCGCCCCAAGCTCGGCTCCGGCCTTTCCCTGCCTCGGCCCTCTGCCCTGCCTGCCCTCACAAGTCCCACCTGTATTTCAACCCTTTCAATCGCCCGGGCTAGGTGAGGAAAGAGGATGAAGCAGGTATTTCAAAGGAGTTGCAGATTGGCCCTCTTAGGGAGCAATTTTCAAGTCCTTCTTTCACCAGAAGAATAGAAAACTTCATCTAAAGTTTATTTAACAAACCTTTAACGTCCAAGTTAAAATGGGAAGGTTTTCACAAGCTGCTTAATTAGCAGGGGTGGTTTGGTTTTTTTCAGTCTGCATTAGCTTATCTCGCTGGTTTGCTGTGGCTCAGCCTTGGCCATTGGACCCACCCTTCTGACCCTTGTGTCTAATTTTGCTGAGTTTTCTGAGTGCTGAGCCAAATCCATGCACCATAAAGTCCAAACCACAGAGCAGAAATACTTCAGTTGTTTGTCAACACTGTCACTTTTTCATGGTTTGTTTAGGGTTTTTTTAATCCGGTTAAAATTCACTTGTTTGTTAAAAACTCACTTTTGGTCAGCTTCGTATATTCCTGTATTTTGATTAGGTGCCATACTCCATTTTCTGCCTTGAAAGTCTGTTTTGATTAGGAGACTTACTCAAATTGTCTGATTTCATTGTTCCATAATCCGCAAGGAATGCCTGATCTCATTTTGAAACAGTTCTGAGTGAAAAACTTTACGTATGTTTAGAAGACCTGGTTCAACCCTTTGCAACCCTGTGCTTACTAAAAAAGGGCAGAACACAACTGACAGTTGTCAGTCTTTTTAGATGTCTGCAAGTTGCATCTTACCTGGCAGAAATAAGCTGTGATCAAGAAAAAAGATGTTTGAAATATAATTACAAAGAAACATTTTGCTCTGTCCTGCCTGCAGATCTTTTGATAGGCTGTGATCTCAGATGCTGGGCAGGTAAAGTGCTTCATAACCAGACTTCTCAATGGATTGTGCTGCCATAAATCTTAACACAAGGGATGTCACCTTTGCCTCTGTTGTGTCTCATCCTGGAAACAACATGGAAAGAGTGACCATGTTGGCATTGTGTTTTTTTTTGTCTGATAACTCCTTTTCCTCATGAAGAGAAACATTCCTTTCCTTAGCAGTTTTACGTATGAGAGGAAATCAGGTTATGAGTTTTTGGGTTTGGTCAGAAATCGTATTTATGTGTGAATATTAGGGTGTGATTGATCACCTGTAGCACTTTGGCTTTGGGTTTAATTTGAGTGGTTCTTCTGCTGGAAGTTGTTGTGACTTTATAAATCAGTTCTCATTTGAGAACTGGGGCCTGAGCTTGTGCTTTTGCTAACTGCTGCAGAGGGGCTTGGAAAGGCAGGGGAAGTCCATCAGTGTCTCTAAACAATTCAAATCCGTTCTCTCCTGCTCAGGTAAACAGAATGCAGTGATAATGGGTAAAAAAACGTGGTTCTCCATCCCTGAGAAGAACCGTCCTTTAAAAGACAGGATTAATATTGTGCTCAGCAGGGAGCTCAAGTAAGTATGATAAATAAGGGCCCTGTAAAACAAATAAAAACCTGCACCAAAAAATGTCTGTAGTGCTACAGCATACAGTAGTCCCAAATGTAGCATTTTTGATACCTGTTTAGAAAGCATTTAGAACCACAGTCTGCTGTTGGTTCTGAGTGTTATGACTACCTTACTCTTAATTTTGAATATTTAAAAATTCATTCACAAGGTAATTGTCATTACTTTGCTTCATGAGTACTGCTTTTCACTCTACTCACAAACCATTTGACAATTTTCAGTAGTATTTCTGACTCATTTAACTCTATTTCTCCAGTCCCTGCATACACTGGTGGCCCAGAGTTCATTTTTTGAAGTTCATTTTTGTTAGGATTTGTGGATGAACTGTCCTTTTTCAGAACTCACTTCTTGAATGCATCACCCACAGTCACACAAATATTTTTAAACACAAATGTCCATTTGTAATGCTTTATTGCTTTGGAGGATGTAGGTTGATTTGCAGGTGGTTGTGTGAGAATATTGGCTTTTCAGCTGGTTTTGTTGAATGAAATATTAACGTTCTGAAATTCAAATCAAAATCTACATTTTATTTCTTGATTATCTGTATTGAATGATCTATGTTTAATTTATAGATTGTCTTTATCTTACAGATATGTAAATTTCTGTCACACTTTTTCAGAAATATGCTGTGAAATTCCAAATTCTTTATTTAGAATGCCTTCTAAACTGTAGTTATGCTGTGATCTGTTGAGCAATACTAGAGTCAGATGAGACTTCAAACATAATTCAGCAATAACAGGCACTTCAAAATAATTAACTGACATGCTGCATGTGGTTATTTGTTAATTCAGCAAAGCACATTTTGTGTCTAGAGTGTATTGATGATCGTGATCAATTGTCCTTGATTTATTCAGTAACAGAGCTTTGCTTTTTCTAGGGAAGCCCCAAAAGGAGCACATTATCTTTCCAAAAGTCTGGATGAGGCTCTAGCTCTTTTGGATTCACCGGAGCTGAAAAGTAAAGTAGACATGGTTTGGATCGTGGGAGGCACTTCAGTGTACAAGGTACATTTAGCCTCCTCCTAAATTACTCATTTTCTGTGATGGGATGAGGATGAAGTTCCTATTACTGCTGCTTTAGGGGGTGCTTTCCCTTCACATTCCCAACAAACTGCAGTGATTGCTGCAGAACAGGTCTCAGAGAGTAGGATCCCAACTCTCAAGCTCAGAATACCTGTCTAGAAGCTGAACATTGCTCTTGCCAGTGGGCAAGTGTCACCCTGTTATTGTGCTTTTGAGAGCTTTTCATAAATACCTAAATTGCTGGATTCTTCAGAAAAAGCCATATTATTATGTTTATTTTACTGAGCCCGTGTTTTTGTGTTTATTTTACTGAGATTGCTGACTGACCCTGCAAAGGGTATGAAAAGAAGAAAAAAAGGAAAAGTGCTCCAGCGTGTTTAGCCCAGAGTATGACACTTTGTACATGTAAATGGAGAAGAAAATAGGATTTAGAGAGGGCTGACAGGTCATGGTGTTGCAATAACAGGAGATAACCACACAACACTGCTTTCCCATCCAGCAGTGTTCCTGCTGCTCCCACTCCCTGGGTCAAGAATTGTAAAGCAAATTCTGTTTAACAGTAAAAGGAACAGTGCTGCTGCCCTGTAGTCATTACAGGCATGCTGGGAGATAGACTGCAGTTGTTGCTGGGCACTCAGACGTGAGATGTGTGGTGACAGTGCCATAATGCACCTGGTGGGGAGTCAGGGCTGATACTGTGCCCTGTGCACAGGGTAGCAAAATGCATTTCTCTGGTACTTCTTGCCTTTTGTGCTTTTCGTGAACCTCTGTGTCTGAGGAAATGCATCTTTGACAGTAAAGGAATGAAGTAGTTAGGGATTGCTGAGACTGTTAGAAGATGAGGTGAAATAGCACTGTTGTTCCTCGTGGTGAAGTCCACCGGGTGTTCCCTGTGCAGATGCATTCAGCCTGTAATCAGATGTTATCCTACAGATAACCTTTTTTAGACCATGACTCACCAATGCTCACATTATAAATCGGCAGTTTTGATCGAGAATAAATTGGAAAGTACTATTTGTACTGATCAGTACAAGGGAACGTGCAAAGTAATAGGAGACCTGGCTATCCTGGACATGGACAAGCATTGAGAGAGATGGGAATGTCCAGTGTGAAGAAGGGAAGGCTCCCTACAAGTAATATTTTTAGTGCCTGTATTAAAGATGCACAAAGGATTTTACAGGAATATTTCCATTGTACTATGTAGAAATGCGTGGGAAATAAAATAGCAATTGGTAATTGAAGAGAAAAATTTTGTTCAGTAGTTGTGGGTATTTGGTTTTAAGGCATTATTTTGATTTCACTAGTTTGTGTGGCTCAAAGGTTGAGACCTGATTTTGTTCATTAATACAGTCTGTTCTTTTTGCAGGTGGTTATGTGAGAATATTGGCTTTTCAGCTGGTTTTGTTGAATGAAATATTAGCGTTCTGAAATTCAAATCAAAATCTGCATCTTATTTCTTGATTATTTGCGTTTAGTGATCTATTATAGTGATTTAATTTATGGATTGTGTCTTTATCTTATATAAATTTCTCAGTTACACTTTTTCAAAAACACGTTGTGAAGTTCCAGATTTTTAACTTATCGTGCCTTCTAAATTACAGTTAAGCTGTGATAATTTAACTTCATTTGCACCGCCTGTGGTCGGTCCCTCCCTGTGCTCCTCCCTGGCCTGTTGTGGTGGTAGATAGTTCTTGATGGAGCTGAATTCCCCACAGGGTTGGATAGGAAGTTGATTTGTTCTTCTACTACAAAGCCTGTTTACAGAACACCTGTTTTTATTTGTGAAACAGATTATTATTCTGTCATTTTGAAAGTGTGACTCTTCTTACCTCTTACCCCTAAACAAAGAAAAATACTGGTATATGTGTACAAACTGGATGGACACCAGTTCAGTGCTGTTCGATGCTTGTGTGCTGTGACTTACCTCTTTCATTTCTAACTGTTCTCTAGTAGAGCAGCTTTTCTACAAATTAGCCTCTCAGCGGTGGTTAATTAATTTTATTGGATTCCATTTGTTATTACTTGGTTCCTGTGCTTGTTGAAGTAGTAGCTAATAGCCTGCTGCATGGTGAGTCACCTTCCACAAAAAGCACTGCTCGTTGCCAGTTTAAGCGAAAGAGAGGAACAGCTACAAGCTTTTCAAAAATGTATTGTAACCAGCCCCAGAGTAGCTTTTCATGGGTTATTGTAATGCCCGCAAGGTCTGGAAGAGTTGCCATTTTCAATCTCAAAACAAAATATATATTCCTAACTCCTGAGTTTGTTGGTGAAAGCCTCACCTAACAAACATTATCTTAGAACGTTTTCACCCAAGGACCTTGGAAATATAAATATCTCTGGAAATATCCAGAGATGCTGCACCTCGAATGCTGTGATCAGTTTTAAGCCCCTCACAGCAAGAAGGACATGGAGGTGCTGGAGCATTTCCAGAGAAGAGCAACAGATTCAACTTTGGAGTTAAACCAAGGGGTAGATTGATATCTGGAATTCCAAAAAATATAGCACAAATCCCTAGCAGTGATATTAAGCATCAGAACAAATTGTGATGTGGACATCTCTCAGCACTTAAACCTTCCTGTCTCCCAAAGAGGTGTGATTCAGAAATTGCTTGTTGCTACTGGGCCTACTGTTCCTTTCTTCTCACAGGGCTATTCAAATTTTGTTCTTAACTTCTGTCAGATACCCCAGGCTCTGAGAATAGGGTATTGCTGCCACTTACCAGGTGGAACTGACACAGGGTGAAATTACCCCTTTAGAAAGTGCTCTTCAGCAGAGTCTAAAAGAGGAGATTCAGGGTGTAATTTTCGCGGCTTTGCTAAAAGCCTGTGATACATAAAATTGTGACTGAGTTTGTGTTGTTTCTAAAGGCAGCAATGGAGAAGCCAATTCATCATCGATTGTTTGTGACAAGAATCTTGAAAGAGTTTGAAAGTGACACATTTTTTCCAGAAATTGACCATAAAGACTACAAGCTTCTAACAGAGTAAGTACCCAAATGAGTACCAGGCTTGTCTTCAGAGTAATCTAATTTGAATGTTTTAAGGGTCATATTAAAGGCCATGTTGGTTTGAGTTTGAGGTGAATTTTTCCCCAGAATCATACTTCACTTACAACCTGGAATGGCACCACACTCTACACAGATTTTCTTGGAACTTGCTGTGTTTTTCACCTTTCCTGTGATCTTCACAGTAAAGAATTGTCTATGTCAGTTTGCTGCAAAAATAGCTTTTTCCTATTGTTTCCTGGTTTAGAATTACTCAAATATTTACTAAGCTTTGTAACTCTCAGTATGTTGTTAGTAAATTGTATTTGGCCTCTGAATGTCTTTTATAAAATTGTCAAAGACAAATTTAATGGACTTGGGTGTAGAGGCTTGAGTTTTATGTATTTCTAAGGTTATTCCTTCCCTCTTGAGAAAATTCCTTCTTCCTAATAAATGCAGTAGGAAAAGGTGTACAAAAACTTACCATTTCTGCCATTCACTGTGGTTTCTTCTATATTATCTTTGCCATATTTCTGTTGTGTTTTTATGTTCTCTCCAACAAGATTTCACCCAACAGGCACTGAGGAGCAGTAACAATTGAGACCCCTGAATTTTTTGCCTCAAAACCAGAAGGACCAGACCTGTTTTCCTCCTGCTGCTCCTGTTTTGGCTCTCAGCTGGTTACAGAGCAGCAATGGAAGAAATAGAAAGTACAAGGAGTGAACCTCTCCTCGGGGGGCACAGGAATGGATTAGCACAGCTCTGGGGGAGGATAGGCAGGGGCAGGGAAGAGGGATGCAGGACAGACAAGGTGGGTGGGGAGGATGAGTCATCTCCTCCAGCTCCAATATATTGTGAACTACTCTGTGCTCATTTGAGTGTCCTGAGATCTGACCCCAGCGCTCCCTCTCGGCTGTTCCTAGCTATACGTTGTTTTTGGCCAATGTACTGAAATGAACATTGGTGTTAGAACATGATTTTGTAAAATCACAGGTAATTTCCTCACTGAAGTGGAAACCTGACGATGCCAAACCTTAGCAAATAAATTTAAAATGTATCTCTCCCTCAAAGTCAGTATTACTCATACAAAATCCTTCTTCTTTTGCGGGGAGATGAAAAGATTTTTGAAAGCATCTATTAATAAGAAGTGGTTTAGAAAACCTGGAATATAGAGGAACTCTTCCTGTGGTAGCAGTCACCTGTTTAGTAATCTCTTGCAAACTTGTAAAAAGCCTTGTCCTTAGCATTTCCTCTAAACCAACTTAGGAAAAGCAAGGCAAGGAAAAAAACCAAAATGTTCCATAATCTTGTCTTCCTTGGCTGACATTTTGAATAACATATTGGAGGCTTTAATAAAAAATGTTGGGTATTTCTTTAAGCCAAAAATAGGGGTGGTGTTGTTTTGTGTCAGAGTATGCCTTCTTGGTCTAAAAGATGTGCATATAAATCATGGATAGTAGTTAATATGAGTCCTAAAAATGGTGTACTGTTCTAAAAAACAATGTTTTCTTTTTTTTTTTTTTCCAAATAACTTGCTTTTCTGGTTGATTGGATAAATTACAGGTGAATCGTGATGATATTCTTACCTGCTTGTTGGCTTTTGCTTTTTCTTCTCCTTTCTCCCTAGGTACCCAGGTGTCCCTGCTGATATCCAAGAAGAGAATGGGATCCAGTACAAATTTGAAGTGTATGAAAAAACTGTCACGGCACAATAAGGGAGGCATTTTGTACTTCTGTGTAACGGCAGGTATTTTAAACCATGAAATTTTACCGAGTGTAAAGATTTAAAATTAAAATTTTGAAGAAAATCATGCCTGATGGTAAAATACCTCAGTAGTGAATGGTTCCAAAAACCCCACCCCACACTTTGAAGGCACACCCTGCCGAAGGGGGTCTGAGCAATTCCACGACAAAGGTTGCAGGAGACCTTGCACTGATCCTACAATCCATGGCAGCATCCCTGACAATTCCACAGATGAGGAAAGGCATTAGACTGTGTTAGAGCTTTTCTGCTGAATCAAAGAGTTTTAGCATCTCTCTTCTTGTTGAAGACACGCTGCACTGAGAAAGCACCAATCCTCCCAAGTTTGACTGGGGTGCTGTATCCATTGATAACAGCCCTATTGGGGTAGGGGTAAAGGTAAGGCAGGGGAAGGGGGATCAGGAAGTCTCATGCAGCAGTTGAGGGGTGCACTGATCCAGGGCCTGTTGTCAGTGTTCAGGAGCACACAATCACAGAATGATTAAAACACGTGCTTTTATTGAAGAGCTCTGGGTGCTCTTTTTATGCCCTTATCATTATATAACTATATATTAATTATTCAGCTTATATTGTTCTGTTGTATGCATTGATTTCATCTGAGCATGGATTCTGTAATTTCCATCAAGCCCCCCCAACATCATTTCTCGTTGTTTTTGTTACGATTAAACAATAATTATGTTCAGTTAAGAAACAGTCATCACATCTAACAATCATATCATTTATCACAGTCATTAAATGATTATACAGGTGCAGCCTAACGTTTTCCCAGGGCCTACCACCAGCCCTGTCCTTCCTAAAGCCTAAAAATATTAGGCTTTATAATATAATATAATATAAATATATAATATAATATAAAATTCCTAAATACTAAAAATATTAAATAAACTGGTAGAATTTACACTGATGTTCCCTTAGAATATCAGCTGTGAGCACCCCTTGAATTTCCCATGGCACTTTACTACAACACCTAGCTGATAAAAAACATATTTGTTGCAGCACCTGCTCTGAGTTGTCTCAGCTTTCTCTGTGTTTCCTTTGAAACTGTAAGCACTTCCCTGTATTGATCTTCTTGTTCCGTGTGCTGATGTTACATCAATCGATAAAAACATGTTTATGCTTACATAATGCAGCAAGTAGTCTCCAGAGTTTGAAATTGACAGCACATTGTTGAAGGGGAGGAAAGAGACTGCTGCCAGGGAGATGTCATTTGTTTTTTTTAGATGCGAGTCACAGTGACCCTGGCAAGAGAATAACCTCCCGAAAGTGTTTAAAACATACCTGTTATAGGTCAGTGTTGAAAGCTCTGACAGTTTGCAAAGTACTGTGTTTAGGACAGCTGACATTTATTAAAAGTGGGAGAAAAGACTTCATGCAATGTTGGCTGAGGCCAACATACATTAGAAACTTTGTGCCTAAGTGCAGAGATAGGGTTCACTGAGGCCAGGATGTTTTGTAGCATCATTTCAAAGAACTTTTACCTTGGGTGCAAAAACAAGCCTGCTGAGAACATAAGTGGTTATTCTTGATTCTTTGTGGACTCACTCAGTCCTCCAGATTTAACCATGTCCTTTGTCAGATACAACAACAAATTAAGTTAATTGACGTTTCGTGGAAATGCGAACTTCTGTCTCCTACTTGAAACTTTTCAGAACATAATGCTGTTCATTTAGTGTGGCTCTCTGCCACAAAGATCCATTTTTGTTTGGCGTGGTTTTCAGCAGAAGCACTGCATTGGGACAGCACCTTTTGTACCACAGCTTTTCAATGTACAGAGCCCTGTCGAGAGCTAGGAGGATGCATTTGGCTGCAGTGAAGCTGAACCTAAAATCATGTTCACCCCACAGATGGACAGCCCAGGCACCACTCTTTACCACACCAAGGTGAAAGGCTTGCTCTCTCAGGGTGGGTGTGGGTCTGTGCTCAGCAAGCACACGCAGACTGTTTGCTCTCAGTGTATTGTGAGGGTGGTTACCTCTGTTACCTGGCCCCTGTTACTTGCCCAGGGTAAAAATAAGTCTCTCATACTGTGGCTTGAAGAGAAAAAAAACCTGTGTTCCAAATGCGTCTTCCCCATGTTTTGTTTACTCCACCTCATTGATGAATGATTCCTTGAAAAGCCATAGATTCTCATTATGTCCAGTACAGGGGGAAATGTCATGTTTTTACCCAGTTGCATGCAGCTAAGTGCAATGAACAGCATCATGAGTGACAGTGTAATTACCAATCACCAAGAAAAGTCTATACAGGTATAATTTAATCCCCCTCATTCATGCTTTACCAGGAACGAACTGTTCCAAACATATTAAAATCTTAATTTTCAAAGATAATACTAGGTTTAACATGATAGCTAAAACCAGAGGGTTTGCATAAAAAGTCAAAAACAAACATAAATGTTTTTATTGCTTGTCTATTACTCATTATCTCTTATCTGACAGTGGACAGCGATTTCCATTTGGCTGTAGAAAGCTGATGTTTTCAGTAGTGTTAGAGCCACGGTGTATTCAAGGTCAGAGCTGGGAACATTCCAACAACAAATCTCTATCGTGGACAGCAATCCGTGGAAAAGAAAGGTACACTCTGAAAAATAAGTTAGCTAATTTAGCAAATAAAATACTATTAGTATTTATACAGAAGAGCGGGGGAAAAACAGGAAGGGGAGAATAGCAATGATTACCTTATTCAGGTTATCTGAGGAGAGCACTGGTAGCACTTGACTTGACATCTTAGTGGGGAACAGACAATTGTGTTGACTTCATCTGACAACAGCTAATTTGCTGGGGACTTAAACCTAAACCCAAACTTAGCCTGACTTAAAAAGTTTTGCTAGCAGAAGACGGTGTGAGCAGGCAGAGGCAGCAGCTGACTTGGAGGGAAGGGTTGTTCTTTAATCAGGATAGAAAATTCGGTGACAGATGAGCCTGGTAAAGTACAAAACTGGGAGATGCCTCCCTTGTTGTTGTTCAGGTGTGCATGAGCTGTTTCTGCTTGCCCTGGAGGGCTGTAGGAATAAAGCCAACCAAGTTAGGGTAAGGCTGGCTGAAAAATCTGAAGAATCCTGAAACAGAAAAGTGGAAGAGGAGAGAGATCGTTGTGTCTCCTTTCTCTAACCTCAAAGCAACATTCATACAAAGAAGCCTTTTGTTAGATTAATTGACATGGTTGGAAAAAGAATAGATGAGCTCTTAAGCAGAGGTCTGTTCTGATGACATTTTCAGGACTTTTTTTCGACTGACTTAGACAATGGCTTACATTGCAAAAGTTGTCTGTTCATCTCCAATTAAATTGCGTGGGTTAAAGTAGATTATCTTTCTTCATATATCTTGTTTTGCTCTTTTTATCATTTGATGGTTTAGCTACAGCATTTCTATATCCTCTTCAGTCCCTGAGCTGTAGTCCTCACCATTCTGTTCCTTATCTCTTCAGTTGTCCCATTGGATGCTGCATTGAAAATTTACAGAAATTCAGAGAATTGGGTTGATCAAGAGACCTAGGTATTTCAAATAGATGTCTCTTAAGTATGTGCTTATTTATGATTAAGGGATGGTGAAGTGGGTTTTTTTTTTTAAATTGGGCCTCATATTTGCCTAAGCAAACAAAGCTGTAGGCATGAAAATAAATATTTTGTTAAGTGATGTCTGCTGTGGAAAAAAAAAAGGAAAAGTAAATGCAGAATAAACAGAACCTGAGAGGGCAAGAAATGAATGATACACCATTACCCATGGAGCCCTAAATCAATCTCTTTTCCTTCCTTGAACAGTTCAGTTTAACAAGTTCCTAACACCAAGCAGAGTCTTCTTCAGTAAGCAAGCCATTATTCAAAGCCACACAATCATTTATAAATTATGTCATTGATTTAATTGAGATGGACACTTGCATAAAACCAGAATATTTTCACGTTCATGCTTCCTCCAAATGCAGTTTTCCACACAAAACCCTGCTGGGAATACTCACATTGGTTTTGGACAGCTGTCCCAGTGGATGGATTACCAGCCCTTCTCTGGAGATCCCTGCTTCACCTCAATAACTTAAAATGGATTGGGCCACTGAATTGCACTAAAGGTTGTTCAGTTGTACTAAGGAGCACTTTAGAAGCGTTTAGTCTTTTTAGTTCTGTATCAGTACCTCATTGAACATGTCCAAAAAAGCTCCTGGAAATTATTTCTTGTGAAAACAGCTGGGAAAAGAGCTTCATTTTCACAAGAGCACTTTTAATCACTATACCTCCTCTTGTTAGGTTTTGCTCAAAAAGATTAAAATTTAGATCTGGTCCCATCAGCGGTCCTAGGTGGAAAACCTCATTAATGTAACATATCTAAGTTTAGAATGATTTATTTTTTTCTAATTAATTTTAAATCCTTTTTTTCTCGTGTCTGTTGAGTTGTTTATCATGGTAAAAGGCAATCCATTTGACTGGAGCTCTTTACTCAGAGTATTTTTGTGCATATTGCTATTTCAGGCCAATCAAAATTGATTTCTTTAGTGTTGATTCTCAGTGGCTGTCATGAAATTATGGTTATCTTTCCAATGGAATCATGTAAATTCTGTTCCTTTTGTTGCAGACTAGTTTCACCTTTTTTTCTGCACAGTTCACTATATTTTTTTCGTAGTATGTAATTCAGATTCTTTTAGAAACTGCTCCAGACACAGAAGTACAGCCAGTGTTCTGCTGCATTCTAAACAACCATTTATAAACGTATGCATGAGAAAGGTTCTGCTCTAAGGATGTTCACAGACTGTGGGAGCTGGCAAAAGATAGTTATCCCCTGAGCCTGCTGATTTATAGCAGACAGGAAGGCAGCACTTGAATTGTGCAGCCTTGCAAAGGCTGGTGCCTGTGGAACAAGACATTTATTGCAATATATTCTCTAAAGCTGTTAGAGGGAGCCCTGCTTCCGTCACCAGCCACAATTATTCCTGCAAGTGTCACAAGTGCAGTTCCCACACACACTCCGTTTTTTAATCGAAGTACTTGGCAATAAACCACCAAACACTTCAGAGAGATTATTTATCCAGGCAGAAAGCTCCATGTCCTAAATAGCTAATCAAGGCGTGCTTGATGGAAGCCAGGAGATACCTGGGCACTGGCATGATCTGCCTGGAGGCAGAGGGTCACACCAGAGCCTGGCGGGCCCACGGAGCAGGGACAGTGCAGTGCCACGTGTGCCTCCAAATTGCCTGGGAAACAAACCAATAACATGACAAGGCTCTCCTCTAGATTTTACACCGCACGCATGGGGCTTTTGTGAGACACTTCATAGACTCCTAATTCCTTCTGTTTGGTTTTGGTCATTATTTTTGAAGCACAAAACATAGCACTCCACTTCTCTCTTAGACCTCTCAAATGATGTCTCTACATCACTACCATAATCCCCTTTCAAGAATTTGAACAAGCAAGCAGCTGTGCCTGTTACATTTTAGATGTATTTTTAAGAACACTGTTGTTTACAACATGAGCGCCTTCCTCTCAGCAAACGGTTCTACTACAATAAACATCTGCCTCTGTACCCAATGGTTTAGAATGTATTTAGGTATTTGATGCATTTATTTTTATGATTTACCAAATTAGTATATCATAAAAAAATGGTTTCAGGTTCTGGGTTTTTTTTTTTTTTTCAGTCATCCCAACTAAACCAAGTTAATTAGGCTTCTATATTTTTCCATTCATTCACCATTTTGAAAATAATTCTATGCACTAATACCTAATAAAGTAACTGAATTACTAGAATGGCTTATGTTACATCAGTGGCTTATCATACATCAGGTTCAAAAATTTACAGGGCAGTGAACTAATATATAAGTAATTACATGTGTAAGCAATCATGGCTCCTTCCCTTGAATGAGTTCTTGCTGGTGTAGGCTGAGGCTGACCAGTACCAAACCGACACGATAGAGTGTTTACAATTTCTCATGGGAAGCAAAATCCCAAACTAGGGCAGGGGGTGAGGATGTCAGATCGAATTTAACTATTTCCATTCCTTTCCTTTCTTTTATCCTCCTGTGAACAAAGTGGAGCAGCTGACCTGGCTGATTGCCAGGATCCCCAAGACCCAGGAAAGGCCCGACTGTGGCTGATGACACTTGGGCCCCACAGGTGTGCCAAGCCAAGCCAGGGCTTTCAGCTCTGAGACTGCCTTCCCAAAGCAGGCTCCTGGGCTCCAGGCTGCAGTCCAGCACTGGGCTTAAATTTGTCATTTTCCTGCCTACCTGCCCATATTTGGGCACAGTTAATCCAGAATCATCCACCTGGGGCCATGCTGTGATCTCAGAAATGCCCGTCAGGTTGTGGCCTTGACGAGCAGCACCTCAGGGGCTGAGCTCCTCCAGAGCTACCAGAGACACTGCCTGCTCCCAGGACCTGGTGCTGGCTGATGAGCAAGTGCAAGTGGATGAACATTTTCCTTGTTGAACATTCTGAGAAAGTTGCCGAGCAGAATTGCAATCCGGACGGGATGTTGCTGTGACTAACACTGTGAGCCTACAAACATTGGGCCTGACGTTGTGACCCTACAAACATTGGTGCTAAGTGAGTCCTTCCTGAGCTGGGGGGTATTCCCCACAAGGATGAACCTGTAGGTTAAAGGATTGTGCACACCTGAGCAGGCTCTGGCTCCATGAGTGTGCGACTCTGAATGTGCTGCACCAAATGGAGTAGGAATGTTGCTCTCTGATTCCTAAATGCACTAGATCCGTAAGTCAGGCCTGTGAGTTACTGTCATCCTTCTAGTAAATTCTACAGAGTCCTTTGTTGAATTCTTTGAATTAGGGTATTAATTCAGTGCCACTATGTTTAAGTGCTGTTAAATCTTTAGGCCTAAATCTTGGGTAAAGTCTGAGGCTACGTTTTGCAGGGAGGTCCATTCTGAACCCTGTGACTCAGTGACAGGGTCTCCCTTATCCCTTTGCATCCTCACCCTTTCCCATTCTCTTTCTCCTGTTCTCAGCCTCCACATATATCACTTTCATTTGATTTTAATTTTAGATTGATTGACTCTCTGCGCTTGAGCTGTGAGTAGTAGAGTGAAACATGTCAATGAACTGTGCTGCACCTTCACTTTTATGTTAAACCTGATTTGGCAATACCTTTTCCAGTGATTCTTCGAGCAACCTAAAAGTATCTGTTTGTGACAAACATTTTTAGTTAATGAAAATTGTTATTAGAATTCTGCAACCATGGCACTTTCTCCTGGTACATATCCAGGTAGCCCAACTGTCGGTGAAATACAGGAGAGGGTTATCAAGAAGTATGATAAACAAATATGCCATGTGCATATGCAAACCTCTTCTGTGTTTTATAATAAAATTTGTGCTTCATAGATGTGTTGCCTGCTCTGGCTTTCCAGTCTCCTTCATTTTTAGCAGGAACTTCTTGATTCCACAGTTGTTTTTCTATCCAACCAAGAGTATCCATGGTGATGTTTATAGGAAAAAAATCTAATTATCTTCATAAAAGTGTTCTTCCAAGAGCTGGTTTGATACACGGGGTTTTTTGGGGGTTTTTTTGGTCAATGATTCATGTTGGCTATCAAGCTCAACAGCACAATGCAGGCAAGGATGGAAAGAATAAGAAAGGGGACATTTAGAGCTGCAAGAACTACAGAAGTGGTACTGTTTCAGCAGCAGGAGTGCTGGTATATACACAAGTGTACAGTGCCTCTCCATCTCACAGAACTAACTCAACAACAGGACTGTGAAGGGCAGTAAACTCCTCAAGAGTGGGTGCTCAGTACACAAGCTTTTCTGAGGCTGCATGGCAAAGACTGAGTATTAAGAATGTGGATGAGGTAGGGGAGAAAAGAAAGCAACAATTGTTAGAATCTTACCACGGGCAGAAAAAGCCCCAAAACATCTGTGGACATTCTCCCAACTCAGTTTTTGAAAGGGAAGGTTAAAGAGCAACTGAGGAACCTGCCCTTGGAATGTTGTTTGTCTTAGTGGCTTATTCATACCATTTATCCAGCTCTTAGTCATGACGGCTTCTCATTGATCCTGACGTGCACTTTTAAAAAATAGCAAGGCAGAAATCCCCTTCACACTGCTCCTGGAACCTTCTCTCCCTGTGCTGCTGAGCTCAGTGCTGTGCAGCTGGGTGCTGTGGCTAGCTGCTCGTTGTCCGGCCATGGTGGCTCCTCTGGCTGCCAGCTCACCCTCACCTGCCCTGCTGCACTCACCTGTGCTCGCACAGCTCGGCGAGGCAGCTGTCCTGGGGTCTCACACAGCCCATGTGAGCAGCGAGGACGCCCTGCCAGGTGCCCTCCAAGGAAACCCCCCTGGAGCCTCTGGGGACCGTCAGCAGGGCCTGTGGCACACGGATGCGTGGGAGAGCACACCGTGAGGCACACAGCAACTGCAGAGAGCAGAGCGCAGCACTGGGATGGCAAGGGTCAGGCTGGCTGCTCCAGGGCAGCCATGCTTGGGCGACCTGCAGACCTCCTGCCATGAGCAAGGAAAGCGTGGGCAGGGCCCGCCTGGATTTCTGCAGAGAACATCCTTGCTCTGTGTCCCAGAAGATGCCCACAGGCTCTCTTGTCAGAAGCGAAGAGGCTCAGGCAGCTGCTCCTGGATAGCCTGGAAGAAACAATGCCCAGAAGGGGTCTCACTGCCGTACGCCAGAGGGGAATGCACACACACAGAGCTGCATCCTTCCAGCAGTGCTGCATGACAGGGAAAGACCCAACAGACACAGAGCTAAGGCTCTGAACCCAGGGAAGCCTGTGAGGGTTGTTGAGCACCAGCACAGGCTGCCCAGGAAGGCCGTGGAGTCTCTGCCCTTGGAGGCATTAAACAAATGGTGGCAGGGTGTTCCTGGGTGATCAGGAGGCTTGGACTGGATGACCTCCAGAGATCCCCTCCAGCCTCAGCCAGACTGTGTTGTTGTGGAGGCATCCTAAGCTTGCCTGGAAACCAAGAAGTGTCTTTGTGCTTTGAAATTTCACAAGATTCTAGCCTGTGAAACTAACCAGGAATTACTACAAAGTCAAACTTGGTCACACCTGAGGGAAGCTTCTCCTTGGGCTCAGCTTCCTCTCAGCCCCGTTAAATCCTGCCTGGGTGGCTGGAAGCAGTGTGGTGGTGAGGAGGTGGTTCAGTGTGCTGTTCCTCCATTGGCTGCACCGACAGGAGATCACAAAGCACGGCCAGGGACCCTACGGTGCTGCCTCTGTCCGGAGCAGCCACCCGCGCCAGGGCGGTCCCCGGAGGTGCTGCGGACTGGGGGCAGGCAGGGGACCGGGCCGGGGGTCAGGAGATGTGGGGTGACAGGGTGTGTGGGGCTGTGAGCTGTGGGATGATATGAGAGGACGGGGGGTGCAGGTGTGAGGGTGTGTGGGGTGACATGAAGGGGTGAGGGGTGGGCAAGAGCAGGGTGGTGTGGGGTGTGTGGGGTCTGACAGGTCTGAGGGGTGTGTGGGGTCTGAGGGATGTGTGGGGGACGAGGAAGGTGAGGGGTGTGAGAGGTGTGTTGGGTGTGAAGGATATTTGGCATGGGAGAGGTTTCAAGGCGTCTGAGGGGTGTGTGGAGTATGTGGGTTGTGTGGGTGCCAGGACAGTGAAGGGTGTGAGGGGGTTTGGGAAGTATGAGGTCTGAGGGCTGTGTGAGGTGAGAGGGGTATCTGGGGTATGAAGGATATTTGGGGTGTGAGGGGTATCTGGGGTGTCCGGGGTGTTCAGGTGTGGGTTGGGGGGGCTGAGG